AGGGGGCTGTTTTGCAAGATGTGCCCTTTGGCACATGTTTAAATGATTATACATTCCTGCATGTTTCTGTGTGCATCAAAAAAGGAAATAGAGGCAAATACTGTTCACCAATGGCTCATGGAGGGGATTGTAATCATTGAAGTGAAACAAAATATGATTGGTTGAGTGCAAAACATGTTCTGCCATGTACAGTATCACTCAATTCACAATAAAATCTTTAAAAAAACACCAAAACTCTTTCTTACTTGCACCTTGAAACCCAAAGGCACACACCTGAACTTTCATTGACACAGATTTTCATTTTTTGTATTATAGCTCATCAGAAACAGGAAACCATGAAATTATATAATTGAGTAGGAGATAATACATGTTTATAAAATTGAACCTAAAAATGTTCTCTTTCTCTCCCACATCCAAGCTATTTATCCCCTGTCAGGTACCGCAGTCTGGTACATAGACACCCTCCTAGACCTGGAATCTTCTAGACCTCCACAATGGCTTATCACCTTAGTAGGAGGATGGGTATACGTACATGTGGGATGGGAATGATGAATGATTGACTCTAGGCTATGTGAGCCTCAATATAATGTTAAGTGCCATTAAGTCGATTCTGACTCATAGCAACTCTGTATAGGGTTTCCAAGGAGCAGCTGATGGGTTTGAACTGCCAACCTTGTGGTTAGCAGTCCTACAGTGTCACACCAGGACTCTAAACATCAATATATAGTTGTTATTGTTGTTAAGTGCCATTGATTCCGTTCTGACTCATAGCTAATATTTATTGAGCACTTGCTATGTGCTGACACTGAAGTCCTTTGCATGGATTATCACATTTAATTCTTACAGCAACATTATGAGCTATTACCATTATTATTCTAAATGTACAGATTAGGAAATTGAAGCAGTACTAAACTGAGATGAAGCAACTTGCCCAAGATCACAAAAACTGATGGATTTAAGATTTAATCTCAGGAAGCTGGCTCAGAGCCCATACATATTCTCAAGCATGTGATTTCACTCTCCCCATAGAATTTTTTTGTTCCGTTGGAACCTAAAAGGTATTGTTTTATGCTGGACCATGGGTTCGATTGTATACAGTGGAGTATGAGTAATGTCTCCCCTTTTAGTTTTCATTGTCAAAGGTTAACTGCACAACAGGTATATTCAATAGGGACCAGTATGTAAACTGAAGGACCAAAAGTGGGTGACCTGTGTAGTGAGGCTGAGACAGGAGAACCCTAAGAGTTAAACGCTAGAATAGAGGGGTCTAGAGTTGTTGTTGCTGTTAAGTGCTGTCGACTAGGTTCCAACTCATAGTGGCCCTGTATAGGGTTTCCAAGAGTGGCTAGTGGTTCAAACCAATCCTGACATCTACTGCATTAACCCACAGCGCCACATTAGTTATCCAGTAAATAAAGCATTTGCGCTAGCCACTGTGTGGAGAGGAAGAGAAAATAATTTACTCTCTTAAAAGAGCTTCCACACACTTCCTGAAATAGGTGTGTGATACAGAATTAGGCAAAAAGGTGGCTTTGGAAACACCTGAGTTTGTTGTTTTGGAACATTCTGCAGACAACGAAGTTTTCCTGTTAGGTCACAGGTAAAGAAATGTGGTCACCCCCACTCAAAGGTTAAATCTTTATGTAGAAGAATCACCAGCATCAATAATTACAGTTACTCTTGTTGTATAAGGAAATGGATAATATCTCCTTAGAGCTTTTGTGATATTCCTACTTCCTAGGAATCAACCTTGGGTTGCTGTTGAGTGTGACTCTCCACTCTGAAGTCGGAGGAGGCCAGATGCCATCCCCATTCCCTTTTTACACTTGGAGGCCCCCTTACTTTAGGCAGGTCATCAGGAAAACCCAACCACTAGGAAAGGAGATCACAGTATAAACTAGAAGGTAGGTCCTCAATGAAATGCAATGACACAACAGCCACAGAAATGATTTAAATACACAATCAGGAAGATGGCACAGAACTGGCAATATTTCAACAACAATGACTAACCATTGCTTAGAATAGGCACTGTTAAGGACCTTATATCTGTTGCCTCAATCTCAACACCAATCCTGTGGTTATATTATTTCCATTTACAGAAGAGGAAACACATTCCAAGTGATTCAGTGGACTGGCTTACTACAGAGCTGGGATTTGGTAAAACATGGCACCAACCCTTTCCCACAGCTCTCTCTGCTCAGCTGGCTTTGATCATTTGTTGCAATGGCCACACAGAATTCAGATACCATACTCAGAGTAATGGGGTTTATTATGTTGACAAGTGCCATCGAGTTGGTTCTAACTCATAGGAAACCTATGTAGGGTTTCTGAGGATTGACAGGTGAACTTGAACCACTGACTTTGATGTTCAAACTGACCTTGCAGCCCCACAGCCCCACACCAGAACTCCATTAGGGAAATTTACAGGCTATAATTCATGATCAGAAATGTCCAGGGCATAGTTCTCCCAGGCAGGACAGCTCTCTTCTCCCATAGGCAGGCCTCTCTTTGGCCTTCGGGCTCTTGGCCTGGCATCTGGTCTACTCTGGCCATGCTACAAATCTCTTTTAGGGCTGGTAAGTGCTCATAGGGTATACCACTCCACCATAACCCTCAGACTATAGGTACCTAACTCTACCTCTGTGGGTCAGCAAACTTCGCACCCCCAATTAAGTACCTGGAGCACCTCGCTCTGCAAATAAGCCTGCTGCCTTAAGTCATTCAGGTGGGAAGCTCACCACTCTGTTTCGAGCTCTGGCTCTTGGCTGCTGCTCCTCTGGTACCACAGCTCTCTGTCCCTGGGTTGAGAAGTTTCAATGCTCAGGGATCTCAGAGCCCAAAGCACACATTCTACTCCCGGCTCTTCCTTGTTGGTTATGTGATTCCCTCACCCCCTTTTGAGATGTCTTATTTTGTACTCATGTTAGAGTCAAAGTTTTCACCTTGAACTCCGTTAACAACTACTCACACTTGAGTCATATAATCCTATCAGCATCTTCTCCCACCTTCCTTTAAACAGACTCATCAGGACACACAACATTTTGGTGGGAGTTACAAAGACTACAGGTAGAAGTGTCCAATGAAGCAGTTTACTGCTCTACAGATTTGAACTCCATTAGATTCTGAAGTCTAAACTCCTAACAATTTCACACTGCTAACCCTTACATTTTGGACTCCTGATATGGTGCTGTAGGATTAGTACTGGACTTTGAAGCCTCAGAAACCCTTTACAGGCTTGATATGAATCAGAACCCATTTGACTGCATTTAACAACAACTCTTACATTAGTCTGCTTTTTCCAAACCATTAATTTTTTTTTGGATTGCTGACCATTAAATACAAAGTGAACTGAAAGATGCCCATCCATCCAGTTTGTTGTCTTTACTTTGTCTGTTTTAGAATGTAAGTTGCTGAAACAAAAGTCTGACAGTTACTTGGCCTTATTTTGGCTCTAACGCCAAACAAAAAAATTCCAGGCATTCAATGGTAGTGGTGGTGGTGGTGGTGGTGTGTAATGGAGTCAGTTCTGATACATAGTGATCCTGTACAGGGTTTCCATGGCCATAAATCTTTACAGGAGCAGAAAGCCTCATCTTTCTCCTGTGGAGCAGCTAGTAGATTCAAACTGCTAACCTTGCAGTTAGCAGCTCAACTCATAATCTACTATGGTACCAGGACTCCTAGGCATTCAAAAGACACATTGTGTGTGTATGTATATATATATGTCATCTATCTATCTGTCTAGACTAGTTTTGACAATGTTGATTAGAGAGACAACCATTTTGTTTTAATCAGAGTGATGATGTTGTGAAGGTGTTTTAGGTGTTCAGGATTCTAGGGACTCAGTAGATTAGATGATAAAACGTCCCTTCTCAAGATCTAACATGTCCACAGCCACTGATGATGGAGGGTTTGGCAATAGAGTTCAAGACTCACACCATCACCCAAAGAGCTGCTCCTCAAAGCAATGTTCACACATTTTCACACACAGGATGTTAGAGAATTTTCTCTCTTCTTTTGTCTGAGAAAATTGATGTTCTCTACATACTAATTAAATTTACATGCACCATTAACTCTGAAGTCTTGAAGTTCTGGGATTAATGCTGAATGATTGCAATACCTCCACAAGCTTTCCATCACACCTTCAAATGCATCTCTTGTCTGATGGACCAGGATGGATGAGGCAGCAAGTTGATTCCCTGTTTTAGAATGCAGAACTCTGGGCTTCTGTGAATGCACCACTTAATCTCTCAGGAACAAATAGGAATGATTACACTTGCCATAACCCTGGTCTGAATATTAATGACATGACATGTAACCATCTGTTTATCATTTTTAAGAGGGAGCTGCTAAACAGAGAGACAAACTGAAGATATTTTATTTGGGGGGCTTGCCTCTAACTGGAGAGAGGCTACTTAGCCTTAGGAAAACGGTTACAGAAAGAGTGACAGTTTTTAAAAAGCTACGTGTCCTAAGGGATTGGTTGGTTGCTTTTCCCCCTCCAGAAGAAAGGAGAATTTAGAGTTATAGGGACCAGATCCACACACACAATGAAAACATGCATACTCTATGATTGTCTGCTAACACTGGAAAGTGTAATCAGGAATTACTTCAAGAAAGATACATGGTTCCTATTTTGGAGAGGATAGAAACATCAGCAAATAATGGTTTGAATAGAGTATTCTTGAGAGAATAATATAATACAGCTCCACCTTGCGTGCCCCCCGCCCCTTGCAGATTCCACACACACACACAGCTGCTTGCTGGGAACTGGTAAGGGATAGTGCCCAGAGCTACCATTTCCCTCCCCCAATGAAGACTGACAATAGAGATCATAGTTGCCTCAGTCAGCTGTGTGGTCCTCTCGTGTCAGCCTCTAGATGAGTCACTGGCAGACCACAGTAATAGAAGGCTTACTGTCATTAGTATCCTTTCCAATAATGAACTTCGCATGGAATCCCTATAGTATGTAGTGACCAATGCATACATTTTATTATGCCTTAATACACAGCTCCCTCCTTCTCCTCATTCACCTCTCCTGTACTCCCTACCTGTATGCAGCCTGGAGGCTCCAGGCCCACTTCAATTAGAGCCAGCAAAAATAGGAGGTGGCCATGAAGAGTGAGAGAAAAGGGAAGCTCATTCCAGGGCTTGGGGAGGGTCTTGACCCTGATGGCGGTGCTCAGCTGTGACTTTGGGACAAGACTTAGAAGAAAGAGCCGTGGTTCTTACAACTCTTTGCTGGTACTGTTAGTTGCCATCCAGTCTGCCTGATTCAGGGCGACCTTTACATATAACTAAACCCAACGTTGCCTGGTTTTGCACCATTGTCACCATCATTGATCTGCTGGAGCCCAGTGTGTGGTTGCTCTGTCAGTCCATCCCATGTAAAGGTTTCTCTCATTTCACGGACCCTCGGCCAACCATAATGTCCTTTTCTAGCCATTGATCATTCCTAAGGATATTTTCAAATTACACAAGTCCTAGTCTTACCATCCTTTGTTCTAAGGAGCATTCTGTCACTAGGCACTGAATAAAGAGAGCCAGAAATGGATAGATTTGCAGTGTCTCTCCTCCCATTGTTAATGATGTTTTCAGATCCATTTGTGGGTTTTCAGAACAGACTATTTATTAGTCCTGAAATTCAATAGTAAAAATATGTATGTATATATATTTCAATATCTGAAACAATTCCTGCTATATAGTAGGTCCTCAAGTGCTGAATGAATGAATGCTATTTTGATCCAGAATTATGTGGTAAGTTTGGAGCAAGCCTCAAAGTTACCATAAGGCCTCTTGTGCCCAGATAACATTGACCCTCCACGGGAGACTGAGCCGCTCACAGACACTTAGATTAGATCCTGTGCTGCTAAAACATGGAGGTTTTGAACGTATCATTTCCCCATAAAATTTACATACTATAGATGTTCATCATCGAGGGTCAGTAAAATAAACCTTGTTAAAGCAAGGTTTATTGTTTTCTTTGCAGAACCCTATCTCAAATGCTAGGTTTCCTGGTGAATTATCTCACTTACCTTAACTGATAAGGAGAGGCCAGCAAGAGCCCTTAAAATCCACGAGGCTCTCCTGGCTTGTGTGTGATATTTAATGTTTATTACAATTTGAAATACTGAAAATCTTATCTAACCAAAGAGGCATTCAGAGATGAAATCTTGGTGCCCAGCAGTGACATTCTCTTGCTGTTCCTGCTCCACAGGGTGCACTGTGTCAATGGGAGCCTGGGATGCATGTGACCGACAGGGCGATTGTAAAAGCTTTGAAAGATCTTCTACACGGGAATGTTCGCAGGGAATGGACATTAAACTATCTGGAAGACTGTGAAGCGGTTGTAGTTAGGTTCTTGGGAATTTCTTATTTTCTCGTCCTTTTCAGAGGCTCCTCTCTAAGGCTCAGTGGTAATGAATGGCTGATGACAGACATCCTTCAGCAAACTGGTCTTGGAGCAGTAGAGGATAAACTGGCTTAATAAAGATGAGGATTTATCACGTGAACCCTGTAGAGCGAGGAAGGATATGGCTGGGCCATTCAACTAGAGAGTTTTTCTAAAACGGAGACTCATAGAACACGGAAGCTAGGGGAATATCTTGGCACGATATGATGTAAAAATGTACAATTCCACAATATTCTTAATGTCCTCTAGGATTTCTTTATGCTCTAAATCTTATTTCAAAATGAATATTCCTAATGGTACTGCAGCACTGTAGGATGAGCATTGGATTTCTAGCAATAAAGCTGGTGGTTCAAACTTACCACCTGCTCCTTGGAAACCCTCTGCAGGGTCACAATGATTTGGAACTGACTTGACAGCACTTAACAACAACAATTGTGCTGCTGTTTGATTGTAGCTTATATGGTATAGCGTTAGTAATTGAAGATTCTCAGCATATGTTTCTACAGTAACATACATGAAGGCATAGCTTGGACTTGGCAAGTTTTTGACGAGGAGAAGCTTTTAGCTTTTTGTTTTTTTCTCAGACTTCAATATGGTGGTGGTGGTGGTTGTGTGTGTGGACTTGATCCTGAGTCTTAGTATAGGGTTTCCAAGGTAGTAAATCTTTATGGGAGCAGAAAGCCTCATGTTTCTCTCATGGAGTGGCTGGTAGATTTGAACTGCTGACCTAGCAGTTAACAGCCCAACTTGTAATTCACTACACCACCAGAGTTCCTTGATACTTTAATATAACATCATCTACAAACCACAAAGTCTGTGGTTGGAGTCCACCAGACACTCGAAATGGGAAAGATGAGGCTTTCTGCTCCTGGGAAGATTTAAAGCCTCAGAAACCCTATACAGTATTTCTATGAATTGGAATCAAGTTGATAGTACTTAACAACAGAGTCTTGGTGTGGTGCTGTGGGTTAATGTGCTGGACTGAGAAGTAGGCTTGAACCACAAGGTCAGCAGTTCAAGCTCACCATCCACTCCTCGGAAACCCTATACAGGATTACTATGGGTCAGAACTGACTAGTTGGCACATAACAACAACAACAACAAATTAAGAACTATTACTGGTTGTTGTTGGTATTTATAAAATGGTGGTTAATCTCTGTGATGTTACTCTAATGTTTGTTGGGTACAGTATTAACACACCGTTTATGACAGCATAGCCCAGTTTCGGTAATTTTACTTAAAACAGAGTAAACAGTCTCAATCTAGGACCCAAATATCATGTCTAAGTTACCTTAAGCTTTCTAGAATTTTCTTTTATATCTTAAGACTACACTCTCCTGGAACATTTATGCCAAGTCATTGAACATCTGTGAGTGTTTGGCATTGGCCAAACAGCATGACAGCACAGCATTTGAAACACTTCCTTCAGAGAACTTCTGTGGACAAGTTAAGAAGTTAAGGGTCCCTATAGCAGATCTCCCCATTCCAGCATATATTCCGCTGCTGAAAGGATCAAATTCTGCCATAGTAACCAATAAAGATATGATGAAAGAAGGTGTCTTAAAAAATATCTTCAAATCAAAAATATATGTTTCTCCAGGTTCTCACAGAAAAACTGACAGTCATATTGCTTTTCTCAAAAAAAGTTGCCCTGACTTCTAACCCTTTCCTGGTGTGGCTTTCACACTTACCCTCAATCAGTTTGATCCTGAAGTAAGCAATGAGAAGGAGCAGCAGTAAAGTCACAGGCAGGAAGACCCCCAAGAACAGGAGCCAGCCGGGGAACTCGCTCATAAATGCTGACAGGACAGGGCTCATTGCCAGGGGGACTGGATCACACTCCAGATGGGCCAGCTTTGCTCTGAGTCTGCACTTGTTTTCTCCTAGGGCTTTGGCCTTTGTTCAGCACATCTCTTGGTGTAACTTTTTATGGACTTTGCTCTGTTTAAACAGCCCCATGAATTCTGAGAGTATTGGTGGCAGGTTACTCTGTAACTTAGCTACAAAGTGTGGAGACAGAAACCTTCTAGGCCATTCCAGATATGAGTATTTATCCAGTGGGGGTTGGGATGAAACCAGAGGGTCTAGATTTCTCTGTATTCAGTGTATCTGTAGTGAAAAATAATCTGGCTTCAAGCAAACCCCATTGTTATATACTTGTATATTCTTCCAAACATAGGAAAAGTTTCACCACATTTTATAAATTTCAAAGTTGAAATTATCTTATTGGCCATGATTAGATAAGGAGCTCTGGTAGCATAGTGGTTATGAATCTGGCTGCTAATCTCACAGTCAACAGTTCGAAACTACCAGCAGTTCCATAGGAGAAAGGTGAGGCTTTCTGCTCCCCACAAAGATTTGCAGCCTCGGAAACCCTATGCGGGGTCATTATGAGTCACAACTGACTCCACAGCACACCATCATTACCACCATGGTTATGTGTCTTAACTGTATATAGGGGAAATTTTTTATTTTTGTGTCATATTTAGTTGATACAAATAATATCAGTGAAAGAGAAACAAGTTATTTTTCCACATGCAAATTTTTTTCTGGTATGTTATACCCTAATTGCTGGCAAATGGCAGCCACCTTCCTATACCTTTTTTTTTTTTTTTTTCATGTTCTAACCCTGTCTCCCCATCCTACTGGCACAGGTGCCTTGATGAGTGGGCTGCAGGAGTCCATCAAAGACAAGCTGCCATCAGAGTGTCCCAAATTATTCCACCATGGATTAATGGTGTCCAAGAGCAAGACGTCAGCTTGACGACTAAAGTGCACCTGACCTATGATATTTTCAGTAGCCTTATATGCATGTGCAAGTTTGACAATGAATAAGGAAGACCATAGAAGAATTGAAGCATTTGAGTTATGGTGTGGAGGAATAATCTAAAAGTACCATGGACTGCCAGAAGAACAAACAAATTATCACCATTCTCTGTTTCCAAATAATTCCACCACTTTTAACAGAAACTAGAAACTCAATTGTCAAATAATTCATTTTGCTCGGATCAACCATCAACACTCATGGAAGCAGCAGTCACAAAATCAAACGATGTATTGCATTAGACAAATCTGCTGCACAAGACTTTTTTAAAGTGTTGAAGAGCAAAGATGTCAGCTTGAGGACTAAGGTACGCCTGACCCAAGCCATGATATTTTTTAATAACCTTGCATGAATGCGAAAGCTGGACAGTGAATAAGGAAGACCGTAGAAGAATTGGTGCATTTGAGTTGTGGTGTTGGAGGAGAATATGGAAAGTACCATGAGCTGCCAAAAGAACAAATAGATCTGTATCCAAAGAAGTACAGCCAGAGTGCTCCTTGGAAGCCAGGATGCTCAGACTTCATCATTTGTATTTTGGAAATATTATCAGAGGGAACAGTCTCTAGAGAAGGATGTCATGTTTGGTAGGGTGGAGTGTCGAAGAAAAAGAGTAAGACCCCCAGTGAGATGGATTTGCACAGTGACAGCAGCCATGATTGTGAGGTTGGCACAAGACCGGGCAGTGTTTCATTCTGTTGTGCACAGGGTCTCTGTGAATCAGTACCAACTCTATGGCACCTAACAACAACAACAACAAAGACACTCAATGCTTCCAAGTGATGATTCCTGCTCTCCAACCCCCACCCCCAGCCTTGGTAACCACTAAAAATTTTGGACTGTACATATTGGCCTATTTCATACATGTTGTTGTTGTTAGGTGCCATTGAGTCAATACTGACTTATAGTGACCCTGTGCACAACAGAATGAAACACTGCCAGATCCTGGGCTAACCTCACAATTGTTGCCACGCTTGAACCAATTCATGCTGCCACTTTGCCAATCCATCTCGCTGGGGTCTTCCTCTTTTGCTCTGACCCTCCACCTTACCAAACATGATATCCTTCTCCAGCGACTGGTCCCTCATGACGATATGTCCAAAGTATGAGAGACGAAGTTTGGCCATCCTGGCCTCCAAGAAGCACTCTGGCTGCTCTTCTTCCAACACAGATCTGTTGGTTCTTTTAGCAGCCCATGGCACTTTCAATATTCACCTCCAACACCATAAGTCAAAAGCATCAATTCTTCTATTGTTGTTGTTGTTGTTATGTGCCGTGTTGTCGGTTCCAACTCATAGTGACCCTGCACAGGGTTTCCAAGGCTGTTAATCTTTATGGGAGCAGAATGCCTCATCTTTCTCCCGTGGAGCAGCTGGTAGTTTTGAACTGCTGACCTTGCGGTTCGCAGCCCAATTCGTAACCACTACGCTACCAGAGTTCATCTATGGTCTTCCTTATTTACTGTCCAGCTTTCACATGCATATGAGGTTATTGAAAATATCATGGCTTGGGTCAGGCACACCTTAGTCCTCAAGCTGACATCTTTGCTCTTAACACTTAGAAAAAAGTCTTGTGCAGCAGATTTGCCTAATGCAATATGTTCTCTGATTTCTTGACTGCTGTCTCCATGAGTGTTTATAGTTGATTCAAGAAGAATGAAGTCCTTGACAACTTCAATCTTTTCTCTGTTGATAAGAATGTTGTTTATTTGTCCAGTGGTGAGGATTTTTGTTTTCTTTACATTGAGACGGCATACCAAAGGCTGTGCTCTTTGATCTTCATCAGTAAATATTTTAAGTCCTCTTCACTTTCAGCAAGCAAGGGTTGTATCATCTGCATATAGCTGGTTGTTAATGAGTCTTCCTCCAATCCTGATGCCACGTTTTTCTTCATAGAACCCAGCTTCTCACATTATTTGCTCAGCAAACAGGTTGAATAATTATGTTGAAAGAATACAACCCTGTTGCACACCTTTCTTAATTATAAACCATTCAGTATTCCCATGTTCTGTTTGAACAACTACCTCTGGTCCATGTACAGATGCCTCATGAGCACAATTAAGCATTCCGGAATACTCATACTTCTCAATGTCGTCCATAGCTTGTCATGATCCACACAATCGAAAGCCTTTGCAAGTCAATAAAACACAGGTAAACATCTTTCTGATATTCTCTGCTTTCAGCCAAGATCCATCAGACATCAGCAATGATATCCCTCGTTCCATGTCCTTTTCTGAATTCTGCTTGAACCTCTGGAAGTTCTTTGTCGATGTATGCTTGCAGCTGTTTCTGGATTACCTTTAGTAAAACTTTACTTGCGTGGGATATCAAAAAAATTGTCTGATGATTTCCACATTCCATTGGGTTACCTCTCTTTGAAATAGGCATAAATACGAATCTCTTCCAATCAGTCAGCAAGATAGTTGTCTTCCAAATTTCTTGGCATAGATGAGTGAGTACCTCCAGTGCCCGCACTTTCTTGAAATATTTCAATTTTTATTCCATCAATTCCTGGTGCCTTGTTCTTTGCCAGTTCCTTTAATGAACCTTGGACTTCTTCCTTCAGTATCATGGGCTCTTGATCATATGCTACCTCTTGAAACAGCTGAACATCAACCATTTCCTTTTGTTACAGTGACTCTGTATTCCTTCCATCTTCTTTTGCTGCTGTCTGCATCATTCAATAATTTATGCAGAGAATCCTTCAATAATGAAAATCGAGGCTTAAATTTTTTCTTCAGTTCCCCCAGCTTGAGAAATGCTGACCATGTTTTTCCCTTTTGGTTTTCTGATTCCAGATCTTTGCATATTGTAATATTTGACTTTCTCTTCTCGAGCTGTCCTTTGAAATTTTCTGTTCGGTTCTTGTACCTACTCATTTCTTCTATTTGCTTTAGCATCTCTATGCTGGAGAGCTAGTTTCAGTGTCCCTTCTGACATCCATTTTGATCTTTTCTTTCTTTCTTGTCTTCTTAATGACTTTTTGCTTTCTTAATGTATGATGTTCCTGATGTCATCCCACATGTCATCCCACATGTCATCCCATGTCATTCTGGTCTTTGGTCTTTAGTATTTAATGTATCAAATATGTTCTTCAGATGATCTCTAAATTTAGGTGGGATATATTCAAGGTCATATTTTGGCTCTTGTGAACTTGTTTTCATTTTCTTCAGCTTCAGTTTGAATTTGCATATGGGCAATTGATGGTATGTTCCACAATCTGCCCCTGGCCTTGTTTCCACTGATGATATGGAGCTTTTCCATGGTCTCTTTCTGCAGATATAGTCAGTTTGATTTCTGTGTGTTCCATTTGGTGAGGTCCATGTGAATAATTGTCTCTTATGCTGTCTAAAGAAGGTATTTGTAATGAGCAAATCATTGATTTTGCAGAATTCTACCATGTGGTTTCCACCATAGAATCATTTAATATTTGTCCTTTTGTGACTGGCTTATTTCACTTCACATAATATTTTCAAGATTCATCCATGTTGCAGTATACATCAAGACTGCATTTCTGTTTATGGTTGTAAAGCTCAACCTCTTATGGTAATGGGATACACAGAAAAGTGTAGGCCATAACCCCTGCCTTCTGAGAATGGACAATGGAACCACTAATGACCACAAGTGACGTTGTAGGAATGGAGGCAGCACATCCCCTTTTCTTCTCTCCTTGATGCATCAGTCAGCTTGCTGGATCAGTGCCGGCTGTGTCCACTGTACTCTGCTAACTCTTCCTCTGGCCCTTCCTGAGCAGTAGATGGTACTTGCTGAATGCTAGTAATGACAGTTGTGTGGTCCCTCTAAAGTTGCTGGGGACAGGAATGACAATACATACAGTATTGACGATTATTCAGGTTTACTGTTGCATGCTTTAGTGAAAACCTTTCAAAGATATTGGTCCACTAATCTAAAGTTGGAGTCCTGGTGTAGCACTGTATGATAAACACTAGATCGCAAAATCTGAGGTTCAAAGTCACCAACGGCTCCTCAGAAACCCTATATAGGGTCACTATGAGTCAGAACTGACTTGATGGCACTTAGCAACAACAATAAACTAAAGTTGGCTGAAAGGGTCATTTTTATGTTGAAAGGGTCCCTGGGAG